CCGTACATAGTAGGAGGGCTTATTTGACAGTTTTCCCTATTCTCTTTCACTATTCTTAATCTACCTACTTTTCAAATGTGAAGATTTTAAAGATACGGAGGGAGTATAATAAAAGAAAAGAACAAAAATAAAAAGTGGTAAGAAAAATGAAGTTGAAGCTCAGAACACGTGGGTCCCAACTCTCAAGCAGTAGCAGGGGAAGAGGCCCAAGAGAATTGAAGATGGACGAAGAAAGCACGAGGGAGAAAGAAAATGAAAGAAACGGAAATAGAAAATAGAAGAAGAAAAAAGTAAAAGTAGCCACGTGGGTGCAATTGGATGTCATGTGTGCATATTAACTTGAATACCGGTAGCTGACCGGCTAAAAGGATGATTTGAATGTTTTTTGGGAGTTGGAGGATTCAATTGACTGATTGAATAATATGAGGACTTAATTGACTTTTTCAATATAGTACAGGGTCTTATTTGACAGTTTTCCCTTGAAAAAAAAGAACAATAAGCATGTTGGGTGATGTTTGCAATGATGATGAAACAGAGTATTATCCACAAGCGCAATGAGATCCTATTCTATATTCTGAGATGATCTGCAAAATTACATGAACTAGTACCTTCCCTCCATTGCATACAAATCTCACTCAAAATGGTAAGTTAGGTTAACATGTGGACATCTAGGGCCACCAAAAATATATTTAAATAGTACCTTATTTTTTCATGTGTTGCTTTATCATTTAATGGAGGTTACAATCTTCTATGCTAAGTGGAGAAGAAGAAAGCTAGAGAGAGAGGGAAGAAGGAACCAACCCTAAACATGCAGGGAAAATTTATAGAGAAAGAGGGAGGGGATAAAACCTGCCCTAATGGGCCAAGTGGGCCAAAATGGCCCGGACAGGTCGAAACTGGATCTGATGGGCCGAGATGGGCCTCCTTGATTGGGCTTTGGGTAATACCTTGAGCCCCTAAACAGTAGTAGGCCGAGACAATATACCTCAACACAAGTCCCCCTGTTTCTTGAGTAGTGAGCATGCGAATATGCTCGAGAAAGTAAAATCTTGCTCGTGCCCTTCCTTCGTCTTCCATGAATCTGTGTCTTGGAGTAGTCGTGTTAGATGAGTGGATGCCTACCCCTCTGAATATATTATGTTGGAAAGACGCTCTCCCTCCTGACTGGATTGGGCAAGGGATGCTCTTCCCCGGGCATTCTCCCCTGAATGTATCAGGAAAGAGTAAAGGACTCCGACCCACGTTTGCTACGCGCGGATCGCTAGAGGCTCATGAACAGATGTGCCGAAGAACATGGAATATAACCAACGTTGCCTAAGAGTTAGTTTGATTTTTCTGTTGGAATGGTCCTTTTCTATATTATAATGATATTGTATAGTTTCTATCTTTTCAATAAATTGCTCTTTATTCCAGAGTGTGTTTAGCTATTAAAATATTCTTCACACTGACATTTGAGAGGGTAGTATTTGTTTGACAGTTTAAGAATAGTTGCGTATAACTTTTTTCATACAAAGACGTTGGAGCTTTACAAAGAGTACTTTCTGAACTATATTTTTTTAGATTCTTGGAATTTCAGGTCATTTAGTTTAAGTGTAATGATAACTCCATTAATCCAGATCTGTACCTTGGGTGCAAATGCATGAACCATTTTAGGTACGTTTGCATTTTCATTGCATTCTTTTTTGTCAACTCTTATTTCAAACTTTCATTTTTGTTAATTTTTATTCCATGCTTTCTTTTATTTACATGGGGAAGAATAACACTCAATCCAATGCAGTTAGAAAAACTACACATGATGATCATCTAAAGGTGGTGTGTGAAATCCCAACATACTATGCTCTATGGTTATGGTGATGAGGAACACTGGATGAAAATGAAGCGATGACACCATGTGCTGAATGTTGAATGATATTTTCTCAAGAACGCTTCTCCGGATGATGAATGTTTTTTTTAATTGAACATATATTTTAGTTTGAATAAACATGTAGCTTATTGAATGTCATGTACATGAGCTACTTAGCTATTTGCTAGTTAGGTAATCGATTGATGTAATTATCAAATGTTTGATAGATATATGTTAAATTGTTACATTGGTTATATATTCAATATATTTGTGTCCATATTTCTTTGTTTGTGTATGTATGGGTATATGAATTAGAGAATTACATATTTGTGTGGCTCATAATTTACATAAAGTGTTACATTAGATAATTAATCAGGGTATGCGTATTTTCGAAAAACCGTTACATCTGTGCAAGTTTAGAACTGTTACATTTGTACTCAATGGTGGTGGTCCGGTGGTGGCTCGGTGGTGGTCCGGTGGTGGCCAGTGGTGGTCCGGTGGTGGTCTGGTGGTGGCCGGTGGTGGCCGGGGGTGGTCCGGTGGTGGCCGGTGATGGCCCGGTGGCGGTCCGGTGGCGGTCGGTGGTGGCCGGTGGTGGTCTGGTGGTGGCCGGTTGTGTCCCGGCGGTGTCCCGGTAATTGGGTATTGAAGATAAATGATAACAAATTTATAAAAACTACTCCGGATGTTTTGTGGATTTCAGAATTATGTTTTCGTTTTCTAAAAACATTTACAAAGATTATGATTTTGGAAACAAAAACAAATTTTTACCGAACATGTTTCTGTTTTTTTCTAAGGAGAAAAAACAGAAATCGAAAAACAGAAACGTTACCAAACGCACCCTTAATCTCTAGTTTTATATAAATATTAAATAGTATTACTAAACCGATATTGATGTTATAAATTTATTATAGAGTTACTTATTTACATGAATTAGATTTAATATTTTAGAAAGATCAATTAGATTTAATTTAATTGATGTGTTTCTGAAATAGTTATACATCTATTAATGTAATGTTTTACACTATTAGAAATTACAAATTAGAAAATCGCATTTAATACGTTAGAAACGCTAAATATAAATAATATAATGTGTTACTTTAGGTAGTTAAATAAAATGTATTAATGTATTAAAAAGTTAATTGTGATGTATTTTGATAAAAACTTTTATTGAAAGAGATGTTTAAAACTAGAGGTAGGCGCGGTCCGGAATGGTTCGAGAAATTAGTAAAACCCGTTATGTTTCTGTGAGGTTTCTAACGGTTCATGTACGGTCCAGTTCTAAGGAAGGAACCATTCAGTACCATATTGTTTCAGAACTGTACAAAATGGTACGGTACAATGCCAAATGTTGGGTGTGTTTCGAAGAACAAAGAAAATTAATTAATAAAAATTAATTAAATAAAATGACGTAAAGAAAACAAGAAATGAGATGAAGCAGAATAAGGCAAAGGTCGTGCAACGCACGATTTCCTTAAAACGTATTCGTTGCCTCCCGGGGTGCTAGGAGCGTTGCAAGAATCGTTTCCCAATAGGAACGTGAACAAAGCAAGAACACAATAGGAATTTTAAGAGAAGGCTGGGAGAGTTTCGTGAGCTAAAATGAAGTGCAGCACGTTTGTGACTTGTTTCTTTTGCAAAGCAGCTACCAGCCTTTTATAGGGGTGGATTTGCATGTGTTAATTGGCCTGTTTAAGGCATAGGAACGTTGGACATCAATGCCCAACGTTTGGGACATTGATTCCAGCCAAAAACGTGTGCATTAAGTCACCGAAGAACAAAAGTTAACGTTATCTTTAGAAGATAGATTTTCGGACGGCATTCGTGTGTGCAGGTCGCCCGCACACGCAAGTCGCGCTTTTTGTTCTTCGGTTTCGGGATTTGATTCGCACCCCCCCTGCGCGCGTGAGAGAGCCTTTCCCTTTAGGAATCTTAACTCCTTAGGGGGGGTTTTCCCTTATAAAGGGTTGCAAATCCCTTGTGATTTTCGGTGTGGGAAAAACCATACCAAAAACTCACCTTTTCCTAGTTTTCTCCATTCCAACGGGTAAACTTCGAAAAGCGATTTCTCATTCACCCGTTATCCATTTTGAGCGTACCATATATCGAATTGTAGCCCTAAGCAAGGACAATCCGAAACCACTTTGACCCGACCCAAATCGGAAGTGGACCCCGCTCAAAAAATTGCCCCAAAATGACCATTTAATGCAATTTAACACACTTTTTTCCAACACCAAATGCATGCTAAAAAGTTGGACAAATCTCGCAATTTGTAAATATTGTCTTTAATTTACTAATTAAATTCATAAGAAAATATAAAAGGATATCATCAAATTGTTGAATATAATAGAAAAATTCAACGTTCTTCCTTTGTTCTGGGCTAAGTATTAGTTCTAATATAATTTATAGTTGAACCGTGAGAGCTAAGTTTTAAACCATATTAATTAAGTTGCAAACTTGCACAAACATGATCCAACAAAAAGTCATATACACTACATTACTAGAAATGAATAGTAATTAATGTTTTTTAAAATTTTAACATTCTTTCAATACATACAAAAATATAACACAAATTATCTAAAAAGAAAAAATAACAATATACATATAAGCCGGTCAGTACCCATTCCAAACGGTACGGTTTCGATTCAGGATAAAAATCTACAGAACCGTTTAAAATTTTAAATACCTGGTATTCAGTGTTATACCATTACGGGCCGGTTCGGTTTGGGTTTTATGCCCACCTCTATTCGAAACTGTTACAAATGAAACTGTGATGGATCTATTCCAAAAGATAAAAACTGGGCACGAACAAGCTTGATGTATTTTGTTTAAACATTTATAATTGTATTATTAAATTAATACTTTATTAATTTTTTATGCATTTTTTTTGAAAGATTTTTTATGCATTTTTTGTTTACCCCGTGACCCCGCCCCCAATAAGTTTGTATCCTGGATCCGCCACTGCCGGTAATGATACTAGTACCGTTAATATAAAGGTAGAAAGATTGCTCTAGGACATATATACACATGTATAGCTAGGCACGTTAATAAAAAGGTAGAAAACTTAATTAATGATCTCCCACCTTAATTCCTACGCAATCTCAAGAAATATGGCAACTACATACGTATAAATATGTGATCCGTGATGAACCATTTACTTTATTATTCCGTACATCTCCATCGATCTGCTTAAACATTCTTACAAGATGAATAACGAGGTTAGGGTTAGAAGCATGGACTTCAGCACGGTGACGGACCCAACTCTGGGCATACTGAGTATCCGAATGATCACCCAATCAAACCCGAACGAGTTCACCTTCAACCCGCTCCACGATTTGCCCTTACTCGGAGACAGGGTTTCCCTCATACTATCATCCTTCTTCGGCGTTGACCGTCGGTGGGGCAACCCCATCGGCTCTCAGGCGGCTTCCGGCGCTCTCGAGAAACTTGCCGGCCAAGACGGCCGTTTCGGGTTGCTGGTAACGATGGTGTTAGAAGCCGTCAATGAATCGCCCGAAGCCGAACGGAGGCCACCACCGCGGCCAGCCCCCTTTACGGTGTGGCTTCCCGATTTGAATAATAGTTTAGTTCTGGCTCTTCAGGCGGCGTATGATTATGAAGGCGGTGTTGATATCGAGCAGTTGGGTTTGACGGAAGAAGTTTATGACGGGGAAGACGGCGGCGAAACATGCAGCGTGTGTTTGGAAGGGTTTTGCAAGGGCGCCGTGATCACTCCGTTGACGCCGTGTTCGCATAGATTTCATAACACATGCATCCGTCAATGGGTCAGGAGAAAGAGAAACCAAACATGCCCTCTTTGCCGAGGCCCCATACATATGCGGAGTCTAATTAATTAGACCAATTTTGACCTCCCAATACAGTATTTGTTAATAGATTATTAGCTTGGGTACGTATTATGTAGTCAATTGGCGTGCTTCCCCAAAACTCCTGTCTTGCCGCCTCCATTTGAAGTGGTTCAAGCCGGTGTAGTTTTTTGATGAAATTTTGTGAGAATGTTTTTCATAAATAGTAGATTGTGTCTACCAACTTTCAGTTCAAATTTATATTCGGAGGAAGTCACTTGAATAGATTATTGAAAAATGTTGTGTTTTTTTTGTACGAAGTATAATTTTGGCATAGTAGTTTTCAATTATTTATTTAAGTCTTTTCACGATTGAATTTTAAGCTAAACTTTTATGACATAATATACACTTCATGAAAAACATGTTCACAAAATTTCATAAAAAAATTCTCACGAAAGCACCTCAAATACAGGCAGCTGGGTGGGGATTCCGGTTAGGATGGCATGTCCCGAGCATTACTGTATGTATAGGGAGTGGTTAAAATGAGAACAAATTTTAATCGCTCGTCTTAATTAATAAACGAATGAAGGATATGAAGTACGCCTAATTTTGGTATGAATGTGTGCATAAAATCACGGCCAATTATATAGTGCCACGTACCTCCGTCCCCCTATCATTGGGATAAAGTACGAATGAATTAAAATTACACAAACTTTATCAAATATGGTATTAGACAAAATTAAATGAAAAAACAGGACAATTATAATGGGACGGAAGAGTATATATTTATAATCAGTGCAACGTTTAGATGATTAATAAGGATAGAATTGTAATTATTTGATTTTATAATGATCAGAACAAGATTACAAGAATGAATGCTACGGTTCCAACAATCCCACTTCCTATTTTTTTAAAAAAAAATTTAAGGCACGATTATATTAAATTGGAAGCATTTATCGAAGTAATGTGGTTCAAACTTGAAAAGAACTAAATTGTGGTCATCATTTTTCTGTGCATAAACTAATTTCTTATAACTTTATAGTGCTATTTTTTTTAGTTTATGAATTATGATTAACATTTTCAATTAGTTTAATAACTAATTTAAAATAATGTTTTTATATTTTTATTTTGATTATTTACTATATTAATACATAATTAGTTTGAGAATTTTACACCTTACCAAAAACTTTGCTAGCATAGACGTGTTTTTTTACAAAAAAAAAAGAACCGAGGACTCAGACCGAACCGACCCTTTACATGTAAGGTTTGATTCCTATTTCAAGATTCGGTGTACACGGATCGAGCCTACCCGATAAATGGAACCGGCGGCTCATAAATAATTATCAATTAGTATGTAACATCAATTGACAGACCAGCGTTGCCAGGTTGGCAATCCGCAGGTTGTTTCTCCCGCTCCGCTATCTTGAAGGAATCTAAAACCCCATTTTCATTTCTGCTTGCGCGCTTCTTCCTTTCTCTAATTCTCTCTCAGAAGATTTCGGACCGTTTGTAGTCGGACCGTTGGCAATCCGCAGGTTGTTACAACTCGATCACCAAGTTGTCGGTCTCCTGCGCTCTCTATATATTCGAACTTGACCGTTGCCTCATCTTGAAAACCCCATTTCTCCCTTTCAGACAGAGTGTCCGGCCGGAGTTCAAGATCGAAAATCTCGTTTTGAAGGTGATCGGAGCTTGTAGAAGCACGCCTTGTTCCAATATCTCTCATAAATTTGAACTTGACTGTTACATCATCTTTAAAACCCCATTTCTCAATTACAGACAGAGTGGACGGCCGGAGTTCAAGATCGAAAATCTGGTTTTGAAAGTGATCGGAGCTCATCAACGTCGACGCACGTCTTGTCCCTGCCGGTAGTTTTCGTAATCCAATCTTTTCTTGAATACCTTTTGTTTTTACTTTCTTGATCAATTCTATGATGAAAAGTACATCGTTTTTTACTTTCTTGATCAATTGATTCAATTCTATGATGAAAAGTACATAGTTTTTTACTTTCTTGATCAATTTTATGATCGATCCATGCACGAATTCTGAAAACAGGGTCTCTTCTGTCTTCTGATGAAAATATTGTTAGTAACTGGCAGAAATCTTTAAATCTTTAAAACCCAATTCCTCCCTTTCAGAAAGAAAACCCAGACAGACAGAGAGGTTTTGAAGGCGATCGTAGCTAGTCAACGTCAGACACAATCCTGCGGTAATTCTCGCAATCCAATCTTTTGTTGAATATCCTGTTAATTTTATAGATGCTCAGTCCGATCCAAGAGCTTTGTGTTGTACTCTCTTGGTCGATTCTATGATGAAAAGTACCCTGTTTTCTGAAATACTTTCTTGATTCTTAATTCTTTGATCGATCCATGCATGTTTATAGCTAGATTTTTTGCTCTGAGAGCTTTTGATTTATTGAACACCCAATTTTAATTTTATTTGTTTTTTTATTCGAATATGAAATCTGTTTTTGGGTCTTTGGGAGCATGAGAGCATCTCCTGCAGCTTGACTAACTTTGCGTCTCTTTGGCTTCAACTTACTTACTGTAAAGTTGTTCCCACTATTCCCATATTTTGACTTTATCCACAACGGTGGATTCACTTTAAATTTCGTTTCAACTGGGTGTTTTTCTGTTGGCCATTATTTTAAAGCTGATTTGCTATTGCAGCAAACAAAATTATAAACTAGTGTTAATGTTTGGTCTTCATTTTATAGGACTTTTATTCTGCATGTTCTGGCATCTTTTGTGCATAATTGCCATACTAGTCTGTAACAGCAGTATTACTGCAAGTAAGCTATTAGGAGACAAGGTTCTACCACCGATTTTATTTGAAAAAAGTCATTTTAATTTGGTTCTTTTCTGAAGTAGTAGATGATTGATATTGTGATACATGATACAGCATAGAGTTTTTGTTTTTATTATGTGCATGAGATAATATGTTGTCTGGAGTCTTTATAAATACATGAAATATGAAGTCATTGGCTGGTTGAAAAGGATTACTATGCGGCAAGGGAATTCTCGACCTCTCAATTGTTTAACATCATAAAAATCCTGCAGGTCGGTGTTGTGGCAGCATCGTGCAAATAGAGCATGTAGTAAGACTTCCAACCTAGACGGGAACAACATTTTCGGCATTGTGTTCTCTGTATGCACAACACGGGCTAAATTTCCCTTCCTTTTCAATTGTAATACAAGTCCGAGTCCAGAACAGGCTTACTGAATGACTCTTGTTTCCCCTACAGAAACCCAGGGCATGGAATATGTAGCCATTGCAAGTTTGGTTACAGTCAGTGATTGTGACAAAAGGTTTTATCTGTTTCGTTTATTGTCTTACATTTGTCGCTTCACTTCTTTACCTCAAATGTACGTGTCATTGCATTCAATTGGTCTTTTAACATGCACCTCATTGGGGTAATATCTGTTACAGTTGCTTTGATTCCAATATTATGCCAATTCATCAAACATGTCGCAAAGTTCCTAAGGTGTAACTTTAGTAGAACCTCTTTATCCAGGCAAGATTTAGCTGCACTGCTTCCATTGGAGTAGATTACTGGAGTAGATTTAAAAGTAAGAAGTTTCTTTTATATTATTGGAGTAGATTACTATGTGTGAGCATTTTCTGAATAGAACCAAAACATACATTGCATGTTATATTGAGACGGAATTAGCAACAAATTGATGCTCTAGGCTTTGCTGATCTGATACGTAAATGATTGTAATACGTATATGCTTTCGTTGACATGCCAAATTTCACAAAGACAAAAAAAAGAGTGCTTTTTGTTTTCTGTGATTCACCTGATTTTTTGATATCTAAGTGAAGAATGGGCAGTACTGATTTATGCTTTCGTTGACATGTCTGCAGGAGGTACTTTGATCAGGCTTTTTGCATGGGTTCAGTCCAATACTAGACACTTAAGAGTTAAGATATTGGCCTGGTTTGTTTTTCGGCAGAATTTACCCACACGAGATTGGACTCTCTCGTCAGTCCTGCAAACTCCTTTGAGGAGGACAGTTTCGGGGTGGATGTTTTCTCCATCCAGTCGGATAAATATTTTCAGGTGAACCGATGCTCTGTTTTCTATGTGCATTTCTGGATTGCTATCCATCTATTTAGTTTTCTTTGCGCATTCATGCTACTTTTTCTTGCTTACTATCAATCTGGATTTAATGTAAGTCAAAGTTGTCTCAAGTCTCCTTGTACGCAATGGTGACATAGCAACATTGCCAGAAACCAGGTATTTACAACGCCAATATTGTTGAAGCAACTTACTTCTTCGGTCGACATTTTCACCCTTTATTAACAATTGATTCCTAATGACAATCTTTGCTTGTCTAGTATCGTCCCGGCCCAATCTTGACTTTTAACAATTGCACACGATCTTCAGAACAATTTTGCACAAAAAATAACAAAATCCCTCCAAGTGACTCAGTCACTTGAAAATAAGTCACTTGAAAAAAACACAAAAAGATCTGGATTAGAATACTATAATAATTAATTAGAGAAGAAATCATTTAGTACTACAAACGGAAATTGGCTAACTAAGTGTACTGAAAGACTAAAAGAAAGACTAAAAGTGTATTTGTTGCCTTCCACTCTACAGACTCGACTTGCTTCATAGCTTTCTTTCTTAAAATTCTTCTTGATGGTTTCGGTCATACTGCAGTATCTCCGCCAGAAGAAATCATTTAGATGTAATAAACCGATGCTCTGTTTTCTATGTAATAAACCGGTCCTGTTATTTAGTATCGTGACACTTTCATTTATGCGGCTACTGTTTCTTGATTACTTGCCTCTGACCTCTGGATCTCATGTCTCCTTGTACAATGGTGACATAGCGGCATTGCGAGAAATCAGGTAACTACACCAATATTGTTGAAGCAGATTACTTCTTAATCCCCACTTCAATGAGCATCTTCAAAACAATTCTGCACAAAAAAAATTAGATTGAATTATATTGAGAACCCCTACATTGCAAACAGAGTTACCCTATTTACAAATTGATATATAGCGGACATAGTTAAATAATAAAATCTAAAAAGTAAAAAAAACAAAACTTTCGTATATAATTTTTTAATAAATCAACCTATGTCTCCTTAATAATTAAATGATCAATTTAATCATTTAACTCATTATATAACATGTGTCTAAAAACATTTAGGGTTAAAAGCTTAGGATATAAATAGGGTTTCGGAATTAAGGCATAGGGTTTAGTGTTTAAGTTTGGGAATTTAAGTTCAGGTTTGTTTACGAATTAGGGTTTAGGTT